CCGTGTCGCTTTGCTGTTTCACCTCAGCGAACACACACACACACACACACACACACACACACACACACGTGCGCGCGCACACTACGCTGCCCTGGATTCAATCATCTGTTGCAGTGGTGTGTGCGTTTATTGAATTTCCTGATGATGATGTGTGTGACCAACATTTAACGATGATGAATGTCAATTCAGTTTGCTTCAATAAAACGATGATCACTGTTAACCCCGCTGCTGTCGTTTTGACCCAAGAGTAGCAGGAAGGTTAAACTCAGTGTTTCTGAACGAGTCCAGCATTAAAACTGGGTTTGACTGAGTTCAACTTCAAGTTCAGTTCTGAATATTAATTCAAGTCTATCAACAATAAAAACCTGAAGCTGCACCTGAAAGCCGAAGTTACGATCAGTCCATGCTACAGAATGTTTCATCAGGAAGCTGCTGCCTCAGGTTGTGTGTGTCTGTGTGTGTACATTGCGTCGTACCTTGGGTAGTCTCTCAGGGTCTCCGGGGTGACGCGGGATGACCTTCTGTAACCTCTGAAAGCCATAGTCAATGGTGGGCTCATTGAGTGCTGAGGAAGAGGAGGAGGAAGGTTACATAGAAACAGACCATATGAATGTTACATCACTGTAAGAATAAACAGTGTCAAAATGCTTTTGGCAGTTTTAAGAATAAGCATGTCAAACCAAAGATCCATGGCCACCATGGCATTTTATGTAGCTTACGAGAGCTTCAAAGATGAATTAATGTCTCAAAATAAGCTGCTTTAAAGACAGTATTGATCAAAAACGACATCCCCCATAATGCATGCTGATTATTTTACTCACAGAATGATGGCCTCCCACCACTAGGGAGAGCTAAGCGGGGTACAAAAGTAGCCGGTAGCCTGTAAAATTTGTTCTGTAAAATCTCAATTTCGCCATCTACTTTTGCTGTTGCCCAGTTGTACTGGAAAGTAGGAATTTCCCACTTACGAGTCGTAAATTTAAACTGGAGCGCCCCTCCAGTGGAAACTCCCTGTGTGAACGTGGGAGAGTTCAGAATTCAAGATGGCAGCTACTTACCACAACTCAACAGTGAGTAAAACTCTCTTACTTTTACTTTTAATAGTATGTCTGTTTTATTTATTTTACATTTAGTCAGTCGTACACGTGGTACTTTCCAGGGATTTTAGAGGACGTGTTAAAACGCTGTTTCTATGTAGGAAATACCAGGTAGAGCTCAGTTAGTGTTTGTTAGTGGTGCTCAGCTGTAGCAATGAGATGAGGAACACGAAATGTTGAAGTTAATTGTGGCTCTCGGTGAAAATATGTTTGACGATCCTGGTTTATAAGGTTCAGAGTCCTGCAGATTTTGATGTTTTATGTGGTCTTCTAAAACTGAGAAGCATATTTTACAAGAATCCAGAGTGATGGTTGAAGAAGGAGATCCTCTGCTGATCTCCATGAGCAGGTGCCCCAATATTCCATTCAGTCCAGATGCTTTCTTCAAGTTTTCACTCTGACATGAAAACATAAATTGCAGTCTTGGATGCTGTTCGTAGCTGTTTTCAATGTAATTTTTTGTTAATGTGCAAGTTGCACATACTTTTACACGTTGCAGAGACTTGTGCACATTGAGGAGACTCGTGCACGTTGCAGAGACTTGTGTGCCTCTATCAGTCTTCAGACTTCTTTTTTATTTTCTGCTCCTCCTTGAACATCATTTACAGTTTAAACTGGCTGGGAGGTGATAAATCTGAGCGTCAGTGAAAGCAGCAGAGCGTAGCCTTATGTGTGCACGTGTGTGTGTGCACGTGTATGTGAGATTGCATGAATCATAATCCTGTCTTGGTTCAGCTGCATTTAACAAGCTTTAACTCGACTCTCCTATACATCACCACAGAGTGTGTTTGGGTTACAATGTGTGTTAGTGTGTATTATTGTGTGTTAGTGTGTATTATATTGTCTGTGTGTAAGCTTGTACGTTCTCAGTCCTTGAAGGCCTGCAGGGCGGAACCAGTAGCCGTTAAAGCGAAGTGTTAGCTCTCCTGATGTCTGCGTTATCTACAGCCTCTGTGATTGTGTGACCTTGTTTTGTGTAGCTTGTTGTTCATGCTCTTATCTGCTGTGTGTCTGTTTAATCTGCGTCTGTCTTCTTGTGGATCAACCCTGGTGCTGAATGAATCAGGAGAACCTCAGCGCCGGAACTCTTCTAAAGCTAGGGTTCACTCATGTTGGTAAACTTCGGATTCTATCACGTTTCAGCTCAAATACTTAGGTAACTGTCCATCAGGACGGGTAACAGACCATCAGGACAGGTAACAGACCATTAGGACAGGTAACAGACCATTAGGACAGGTAGCTGTCCATCAGGACAGGTAACAGACCATCAGTACAGGTAACAGACCATCAGGACAGGTAACAGACCATTAGGACAGGTAGCTGTCCATCAGGACAGGTAACTGTCCATCAGGACAGGTAACAGACCATCAGGACAGGTAACAGACCATCAGGACAGGTAACAGACCATTAGGACAGGTAGCTGTCCATCAGGACAGGTAAC